CACACACACACATACTTACACATACATACACACACACACACTCAGAATTTTCCTCTAAGATAAAGCATAACCAACATCAAGTAAAGAGGCACCATTACCTCCTTACATCTAATCCTGTTGATTGAGCCCAAAAACTGCATTCCCTTTAAAAAAAAAAAAAAAAAAAAGAAAAAACCTACACCACAGTACAGACCCATGCTGAGTCTATGATCCCCAAACTCTCCCTGCCGTGCTGTCATCCAACCAGTTGTCACCCATTTTGTATTTGTGTTTTTGATTATTCTTCCTGAGATGCAGCACCTTGCATTTGTCAGCACTGAACTTCATCCTATCAGCTCTAGCCTTCCACTCTATCAGAAACTTTCTAAATTGGGCTCATATCTTCCAGTGTGCTTGCAATCTTTTCCAGTTTGATGTAATCTGCTAATATGCTCAGGGAGCTCTCTATTCCAGGATCCAAATTATTAATAAAAATATTAATAAGCACCAGACCCCAGACAAACCCATGGTAAGCAGGTATGAGTTGGGTAGGTAAACAGTCTTCCACTTTGGGTTCCTATTCTTACAAGGGAAACCACATTTGTGTCCTCCTTCCCAAAACACGTTATGGTTTGCTGGAAGAGAAGGTATTCTCTCCCTCCTCTACATAAGGCCCCTGGTCCTGCCAAAACCCTTCCCTCTGTTATTTCCTAGGCCAGGGATGGCCAACCTGTGGTGCACATGCTACATTCTACAAGTGACATGGGCAGCCTTTACATGTGGCACACCACAGATCACTGAAGGGACAGGCAGCACAGCAGAAGGTACAACACAAGGAAGAAAAAAGAGTAGCAGGCTGGGGGGCTGGGCAGAGAAGGGGGATCAAATCAGCATACCACAAAGAAACGTTGCCTCCGCCCTCCCACCTGTCTACAAGATTCTTGATACTTTAAGGCAAGTGTCAAACATATGGGTCATGGACTGGATCTGGCCCACAGAGCTGGGTCATCGAGCCTAGTTTGCCCTGACTCTGGCTATGATGTGGGATCTCCCTGCAGAGGCAGCCAAGAGTCGGCAATAGCAAGCTTCTTCCCACACTGCTACAGGGGGCAGCTTGGGTGCTTGCCTATCACCAAGGGAGCAAGCCACAGTGCCAATCTTGTTCCCACAGTGCTGCTGGGGTTTTAGCGCTGTGCTTGATTGCAACCATGGGAAGATCCCAGGCTTTTTCCTTCAGTGTTGTTGGGGCTACAGCACTGCAGCTCAGAACGAGGCACATAGCTGGCACAGATCTTTCCTGCCAAACACTGGGCTGCTAAGCCCCAATATCCAAGTAAAAGCCATGGTGCTGGAGCCCCAACAGCACTGTGGCCAGAAGCCCAGCTCCACAGCTTTTTCCCCGAAGCAGAAGTCAAGTATCCAGGAGGCTGGCCTTCTTGCCCCTGAATTCCCAACTGGCTGGAGTGGGTGTCACGTATGCCACCTGTATCAGACCAGCCCTGCACATCACAACATGAAGCACAGTCCAGAACTGGCCAAAATGGACACAGTGTGCACTGGATTCAGCATGCAGGGAGCAGAGAGAAAGGGGTCCATGGGACTAGCTTTGCACCATTCTTCTGACCCATGGACTGGTCCCACACCATTCATCTAGCCCATGGTGCCAAGTGAGTTTGACAACCCCACCTTTAGGGCAATGACCTAAAACAAGGACAGAGCACAGCTATTTTCTATAGCTCTTTAAAGGGCATTAGAAAGAACATATCCCTATGGCACATTCACAGAGGCAGAATTAAGGTTACATGGGTAACCTTAATTATTAAAGTTAAACATTAAATTTGGCATTTTTATTGTGCAGATGTGTAATACAGAAACCTAACAGAGAGAGAGTTTGTATTATTTCCTAAGAGTTTGTATTATTTCCTAATTTTGCAAGTCTTCAGAGAGGCATGGACAATAAAGGAATGATATATTAAATGGCCTAGTCACCAGTGCTAGGAACTTGCTGGCTTTGTACTATAAAATGTTGGGTCAATATTATATTCTGAAATGTCCAAAGACAGGTTTGGGGTTTTTTTAACCTATTTTGAGAGGTATGTTTTCTGATGAAATATACCTATGTAGAGAACTTGTAAGATGCACAGGAAATTGCTGAAATGTTTTGCAGCAGATGGATTGTCCAAACATCTCAGTCACAGGACTATGTAGATGCGTAACCTGTCTAATCTTCCCAAGCTATTATCCTAGGAATCTATAGGACAACAAGCATTCCTAAAATGACAGAGTAAGGAAGGCATCCAGCATTGGGCTTATTCCTTCCTTTGGAGCAGAAGTTTTGGAACTTGTTGTCATCCTCATCCACTAGTGGATATTGGGATAGTGAACGTGGGCAAGAGGTAACCACATTTTTGCCAATACCATGTGCATGGGAGTTTGCTGTTGATCACTGAAAACCATACAACTAGAAGGATTATATTTATGTTGATGACACCAGTTCTGGAACCCAGTGGCTTCCAGGGGCACACGCAGGGGAGATTGAACCCCCCTGTCCTTGTCTATATAGAGCATTTCTGACATGTCTGTCACAACTTGTAACATGGAGTTTATAGAATAACCAGAAAACTTGTGGGAACCGAACACTCATCCTACATGAAGTGATTTTATCTTGTAACAGCATGGTACACTGTTTGGGATATTCTGCTTATATTTGATGTGAACAGCATTGATAAACAGGAGTCAGTAGCGCATAAGAAACAAAGAATCAGAAAGCAGTGGTAACTTGATGAAAGTCAACAGCCTTTTATACAGAGGAAAATTACACTTTGTAGCAACACAATCAAAAATAAAAAAAATAGGGACCAAAAAAATCATTTAGTACATCCCTGTGCTCTTGGCAGAGTCAGATATACCTAGATCATACTAGATTGATACTTGCTTTAACTATGTGAAAGAAATTTCACAACTTCTGTAAGTAGCCTGTTCCTATGAATAACTATGCTTATAGTTAGAAATCATTTCCTAAGGTCTAACCTAGATCATATTTATTTGCAAATTAAGCCAATTATCTCTTGGCCAACCCCTGCAGACTCAGAAAACAATTGTTCACAGTCTTCCTTATAGCAACATTTTATATATTGGAAAAATATACGGTTGACTGACCACCCTCATCTTATCTTTTCTAAGACTAAACAAATGCAACTCCTTCAAATTTTCCTAGCGTGTTGTGTTTTCTCTTTATCATTCTTGTTGCTATCCTCTAGTATCTTTCTCTAACAGTTGGCATATTCAGTTTGGGGTCCATTATGAATGGCAGATTTTAAGTACTGCTGCCTCGCTGGATATTTTTCAAAACATACCATTTAAAATGTGGACCATTTCTCCAATTTAACAAGATCATTTTAAATACTAACAGTGTTTTTCAAATTCCTTACAACTCTTCCCAGGCTGGTGTCACCTGCACATTGAATGCAAAGTACGCATTTAAAAATCATCAAATTAATTAATGTAAATATTGGGTAGATCCAGGCTCAGGACAGATCCTGTGTAACCCCACTTGAAATGTCTTGACAATTGGAATCAAACACCTTTGATTATTGCTCTCTGATTCTGATCACCAGAAGTAGTTACCTTTCTTCATAAAGGACATTATTGTTCCGTTGCGTCTTCCTTGGATTTTGCAGTGACACACTGGGCATGGGAAGGTTGGAGAGTACTTCAGAAATGGGATGCAAATTTAGAACTAATTTGAACTGTAAACAGCCTGAAGATGACGTCTCTCAATGTGTTCATTAAACAGCAACCCCCTGAAGTGTTGTATAAATAAATGAAATTAAATACTGGAGTCAGGTAGGCTAAAGGGGGAGACCACCACAAATTAAAAGCTTCCCCTCTCATAACAAAGGCAAAAATATATGAATTGCTGTATTAAGTAAATTATCTTAGAATACAACATAGTAATGGGACCTTTTTGTAGTTTGGTTTATGTTTAAACTTTTACAAGCTTCTACATTTGTCATAAGTTGTACTCACACTAAATGAATCTTAATAACTGTCATTTTATCTTAAATCTGATGTGAAAAAGACTAGTTCTGTATTAAATTAACACTCTCAGAAATTATGACACTAATTGAAAGGTATACAACAATGAGACTTTAGAGATCTAATTACAGAGGAAATCAAAACAAGGAATTTAAGCACAGTAATACAGGAAAAAAGTGGAGCATTATGAGAATTGAACATGCATAAAATCTTTAACTCACTTTACAGAGAGAGCTGAGGTTAAATCCAAAGGTCTGTGCATTCCGAGAGCCGGCATTCATGTAGTTTCCCATTAACAACACTAGTTCCAGTAACTTGCTAAAGCTTTTGCTCTTCTTTATCTCTTCACAGGCAGTACTGACAGCCATGATGTCAGGTTTGATGTTGTTCACCTGCTCTTCAAACTGAAGCTTAAAGAGAATAGCACTGAGCCGTGGCCGTAGCCTCTTCACATTGCTCATCTGATTGAAAAGAAAATAGGAAATTTCCTTTAAAATTCATATTAGACTTTGGTACTGTACAAATGCATATAATCTAGGATGATTTATTGGTGTGAAAGACTTGAAGAAGCAATATATCTCCTATAACTGATAGCAAATGGATGAATGAAAGAATGAGGGACACTTCGGTAAGCAACTGAAATCCTGGCTTCTGGTTGCTAATAAGAACTGTTCCCTCTTCCCCCTCCAATAAGTAGTATGTGTAAGCAATAAAAGATAAAGTGTCATCATATATCATGTCTGTCAACTTGTATACTAAATCCTATAAAACTAATCCAAGTTTATGACCCAGTAGTTGCAAAGAAATAATAAAAAAGTAGTTTAAATGTTTTTGTTCCAAAAATAGCATTCATTTTTCACTGAAATATTTAACTAATTATTTTAATCACAGTCCAGCTTAGCTTAACAAAATAAAAGTAGTTTGTTAAGAAATATGAAATACAGCACACTTAAATGTAGAATTTGTTTCTATAATTTTAGTATATATCCCACCACAGCAGTTGGTACAATACAATTTGTTAGGCAAACTGCATGTTACTAAAAACACTAGCAATTGTTTTTATATGCAAGATATTTTACTTCCTTTACACTGTACTGATAGGACTTTTTAACATTATACAGCAACCTTCATGCATTTGAAGCCCCACTGAGGTCAATGAGTTATAACATTTTTTTTTTTTTTTTAAATCTCATTTGCTCTATGTACCGACTATGCAGTAGCACATTTCATTGCTCCTGAAGACCAAGCTCGTTGCATGTCAGGTGATTCATTCAAAGCTCCATTCCTCACCCCTGCCTCCCATCCTTCTAGTTCCCCCATCTCCCTTTTCCCTGCAACACCTCCCTCTATCTCTGTGCCCTGCTAGACCAGGATCACATGACCTGTCTCACCAATGGCAGGAACTGTCTCTCCCTTCGTTTCCTGAAGAATTTCCATTCCCCTTCTCTCTAAATCAGACTCCCCATCTGTCCCCACCAGATGTTCTTTGCATCTCCACTCTTGCATCCTTGGGTCATCCATTTTTGTCTACCATGCCAATGGTTCTGTTTGCACCCCTATTTCCATTTCCCCCATGCCAGCAGCTCTGTATCCTACTACCCAAATCCTCATCAAAGCTACTGGCTCTTCAACTCACAACAAGACCTCCCAGTCTCTTTTCTCCATGTTGGGGCTCTATGTATGCCAAATGCATTCCCTTAGTTTCTTTTCAGAAAGGATTTTGTTTGCCTTGCCATTACCTCTTCTCTCACTACCAGAGCATCCCCTACCTTGTATCCTCTCCACATGCCTGAAGCCATGCGACAGTTAACAATTCCTTCTTGTTCCACCATTTACAATTTACTGTCAGCTATTTTCCAAGATATAGGTCATTAAGTTTATCAACATGTTAAAACTTTTTGTTCTTTTCATTCTCTTAGCACAGTTGACCAGTAATACCTAAGAGTATCCCTGTGACACACTTTTACAGACAACTGCAGAAGTGCTTGAAGCTGTGACTGTGCTCAACACATTTTCCGCCTTTTACTTTTCTGCTTTCCCCATAATCAGTAGGACTCCAGTTAATGATGCCTACAAACATTCCCTAAAATAATGGAATTAATTAGATACAGCACTGAAAATTTACTGAGTGAATTATGTATATGAAAAGATGTGGGTGGATCCAGAAGTTGGGGGAGGTACAGAACTGACACAGTTCCTGCCAAAGCCACTCCTTTGACAAGGCTTCAAAACTTAGAGGCTTCTTCCCCCACCCAATCTTTTAGCCTGCTATTGAAAATTTGGCAGCAAGGGAAAGCAGAGGCCTGGAAGGTGGTGAGCAGCACCAGCATGAACTCTCTGGGATCCAGAGCCACACAAAAGCACTGGCTGACAGAGGCTGCACTGACGAGCAGGTAAACTCAGGGAGCTCATTGCACATGTGGTATACAGGGAGAGGGTATATAAAAGCACCCACCACACTCTCCCTGGATCTGCCCCCATAAACAGAGGTCAAGTTGAGTTTTTGGCCTACAAAATTACAATACCTTGCATATTAAGTATAGCAGCCCCAAAACCCAAAGTATTATGGAACATATATCCTGGAAGCAAGAAGATCCTGGATGCAATCTAAAATGACAGCACCACTTAGCATTTCCTTTAAGCAATGCTAAAGTACTAATCACTAGGAAACAAACACATGCCTATTAAGGAACAAATAAAACAAAGCAGACAGCCTGTGTTAAATACGCACAAAGTAGCATCCAACATCCAACCATATCCAGTGGTTCTCAATACTTTTAGAGTCAAGCCAGCCCTGGAAAAATGCAAGCTCCTGACTTTCACGTGTGTTTTGACTATGGAAAAATAATACAGCAAGTCTTCTGTTACAAAAAACCCAGAAAGACCACAACAGGACTGAATGCTTTTTACACTATGAATTCCTATTTTAAATCTCAGCGTATATCCTATGAATCATGTACAGGTGTTTGCATACCTAACAGCAAACAGTACACAGGTTGAGAATCAGTGGCTTAGTTCTTGGACTATGTAAATTCAGATTAAGTAATCATAGCAGGTATTCAAGAATAAGCCAGTTAAGTATCAAGTTGCACATTTCCAGGAATAACTCTGAAGCACAAAGACTACAGAAACTCCAGGTCATGTGCTTGAAAAATCTCTGAAGCTGCCCATCTCTCAAAAGATGTTTTGTTTAAGTTCTGTTTACAGTTAGTCCCAGTGAACCACACTCCACCAACCCTCAAAGAAAATCCCCTTTAAATGCTCTTTTTGCTTTGAGCCCACAACTAGAGCAAATGCAAAGTGGGATTTCAGTTTTGATTTTGTTGTTAGTTTGGTTTGGGATTTTCTTTTGGTCTGAGGGTTTTTTTTTCAGGGAAGAGAAGTACACCTTTTCTATATGGTTGGAATGTATCTATTCCAACCATATAGACTTTTCTTTTGGTACAATTAGTTAAAATTATCTCCTTTAAATACTGGGGAACAAAGCCAGAAAAATCTCTTATTTACCTGATTTGATCAAGCCAACACTACCTTCTCTTCCACTGCCTCAAGTTCAAGCTTCTTATCCATACCCTTGCAAAACTCTGGTCCTCTACTCTTCTGATTCTTAGGCTCCCCATGCCCCTTTTGATATGCAGTGATTCACAACGATATTTCTTGATGCCTACAAGACCGCTCCTTCCGTTACAATTTCAACTCTTTCTCCTGTACCAGTACCATTACTCTGAGCTAGCACACAAAGACACTGCCTTCTCCATAGGTACATTCTTTAATGCATCTATTCCAACCATATAGAATCATAGAATCAATGAGTAGGAAGGGACCTAGACAGATCATCTAGTCCGGCCCCCTGCCATGGGCAGGAAGGAGCACTGGGGGTGGGAGGAGTCATAAGACCCCAGCCAGGTGCCTATCCAGTCTCCTCTTGAAGATCTCCAGGGAAGGTGAGAGCACCACCTCCCTGGGAAGCCTATTCCAGGCTCTGACCACCCTTACAGTGAAGCAGTTCTTCCTAATATCTAACCTAAACCTATCCTCCCTCAGCTTGTGGCCATTGTTCCTAGTGACTCCAAGGGGGGCCCTGGTGAACAGACTTTCCCCGAGTCCCTGCTGGT